TGCTGGATGTGACTCCGGCCGAGGTTTTAGCATGCTGTGGGTTCAACAGCACAAACCGTGAACATCACATGTATGTATTTTCATACATAGAATGAAGCCTGGCTGCATGACACGTATGAATTAATCAGAGTTGCCAAAGGGTGTTTATCTTTGGAAGTGCGCTCACTTTCAAATGTAGCTGTAAGTGAAAAAGCAGGTGATGGAAATTTCCCATCATGCCCGCAATCTGTCCTCTCCCCCAGTAAACTCAGCAGATTGCATTTTCTGATAAGACAACCAATCCCCTCCATTAAACAGCGTTACCATGACGCCTGAGAAGTAGTGAGGAAATACTCCAGCATCCACCTCGACACCTACCATTACCATTAGTAGCGCTGTCTTACGGCACACCAGGGCTGAAAGAATCGTACTGCTAATGGTACCTGAAATCCATCATTGTGCTTCCTGCTATTATGAACACCGTGTGTAATTATGTTGGCTTGACAAATACTCGGGGTCAGCGGGGTTTCTAAAAGTGCTATGTCTTCTCTAACTGCTCAAACTTACACTTTTCCAGAAGCAGATGGTTAAAAAACAACAACAAAAACTAAACCCTTTAAATTTCCTGTTTAAATGTTCTTGTAGAGCATTCGAGCAACATCCAGAATGTTCATAAACTGAAATGCCGACTGTCATGTTGTAAACGCTTTTAAACAAAGCATCATAATAAAACAGAAGCTGTGTCTCATTTTGTAGGCTGTGGCCGACAAATTAAGCACAGCAATTTAACTCCGGTCCTCGAATATGATTGGCCGAGAAATGTTCCAAGAGTACAGTCGCAACAATAAAAAGTGCAGAGACGTTTAACTGTTTTAATATCACTCCACTTGTCTGTGTTTGTGCATTCCATACAGACGTTTTTTTCATTCACATTAAAAACAACTTGCGTAAAATTATACCAAGTATGGAACAACAATTACAAAAATAAATAACCAGTGAAAACATTTAAGTTCAGAGTAGTTTTTGACATTTCAAAGATCTATTTTTATTTTTGCTGATCATAGACTTTTAGAGATGATTTTTCATTGACTCTTTCTACGGGTTACACAGTTACACCAGTAGGTGGCGACCAGTAAATGTCTGTATGACTGAATCAATGAATCACTCACTCAGTTCATTCAGAAACAAAAAAATAAAGATACTGGATGAGTTCGAAATCACATACTTGAGTAGGTACTTCTTTTGAAGAAGTAATTACTTAGCAATGTTTAAAAAAAATGTAAAAAGAAAAAAATTTTTTTTTTTTTTTTAAGTATGTTTTACATAGCATGAATGTGTGTAGCATGAATAATTCATACATTTCCGAAACTTGCCATAAATTGTTGGTCATCCTTGGATGTTTTGCCTACTGTTTTATGAATACTATGAAATCAGACATACTACTATTTGCACATATTGCTTTTCACCTACTTGTATAGTAGGGAAGTATGTGATTTCGGATGCAGCCACTGTCTTTGAGTGAGTCATTGAATTATTCACTCAACCAATTAGTTCAATCGTTATAGTCAGTAGCGCAGTAGTTTTAATAGGAATCCATGCAATCAGGAATTTCGAGTGAGGGTGAAAGATTTTTCCACACAGATTTTGCATCGGGTTAAGCTGGTTATGCGAGTTTGCCATGTAGACCAACAGACAGCTGCTTGATTTGAAACGGACTTCTGTGTAACCTTTACTTCATACATTCCTGCACTATTGATAATAGACAAACAACATTTTTAGCTGAAATTTAACTAATGTGAGCCACATCTTTACTAAATATTAACTTATTGCTCATTAAACTGTTTTATAAAAGAAATACCACATTTGTCATCCACCAGTTTTCTTTTTTTCAGATTTAAAATGACTCCTAAGTAGACGTGAAACTTAAAATCTGTGTCAACCTTCGAAACACAATAGGAATGGTGTTCGTTCTTGTTGACTCTCCTCAGTTTGCGTCACAATCCACAGGAGATTAAGCCCACTTAATCAAACACTGTCAAAGGAAGGACGGTGCGCCCCGCTATACCTCTGTATTCCTCCATCCACAGGTGCTAGGTCATTAACGTTGCCAAGCGATTGTCCCACACACACACAACCAGGTGTTTCAAATCTCTCTCCCTCTCTCTTTAAATGGCTTTTCCCCCCTTTCTGTCCTCTATAACAAGAAATCTGTTTGAACGACTCCACTGCGACTCGGTGTTAGAAATATGCAGCTTTAATTCTGAGCCCCAGAGCCTTTATTGCCATTTACATCCTCATTACAAATGACCAGGAATCCATTAGGTTCCTGTCATCCCCCGTATCTCATTAAGATGGGCTCTATCTAGCCCACTCCTGGAGGCCCAGCCCAGGGACAAAAAGAAAGTAGAGATCAAGCACCTTTCAGGAGGACGTTCACATACTGATGAGGTGACGGGGTGCAGCCACTAGGTATCTATCTATCTTTATTCGCTGTCAACCTTACACAATAGGAATGGTGTTCGTTCTTGTTGACTCTCCTCAGTTTGCGTCACAATCCACAGGAGATTAAGCCCACTTAATCAAACACTGTCAAAGGAAGGACGGTGTGCCCCGCTATACCTCTGTATATTCCTCCATCCACAGGTGCTAGGTCATTAACGTTGCCAAGCGATTGTCCCACACACACACAACCAGGTGTTTCAAATCTCTCTCCCTCTCTCTTTAAATGGCTTTTCCCCCCTTTCTGTCCTCTATAACAAGAAATCTGTTTGAACGACTCCACTGCGACTCGGTGTTAGAAATATGCAGCTTTAATTCTGAGCCCTAGAGCCTTTATTGCCATTTACATCCTCATTACAAATGACCAGGAATCCATTAGGTTCCTGTCATCCCCCGTATCTCATTAAGATGGGCTCTATCTAGCCCACTCCTGGAGGCCCAGCCCAGGGACAAAAAGAAAGTAGAGATCAAGCACCTTTCAGGAGGATGTTCACATACTGATGAGGTGACGGGGTGCCGCCACTAGGCATCCATCTTTCTTTATTTGCAGAAAGAGAGTTCTTGGGATATATGGACAGTGCAGTGGCTGAGAGCAAGAGTTTTATAAAACGCATATGAAGGGATCAGTTGACCTGTGAATCTATAGGGGCCAGTCACTTAATGAGTCAGTCTTTAACTCCCATAATGCACTTTGAATATCATACATGCATACATGGATAACTATTTAATTAAGCCTATTTGAACTCTTGCCTCTACAGAGAATAGTAGTACTGAGATTAAAACTATAGAGAGCAGAGGGCCTTCCACAACTATTATAACTATAAAGTTTTATTAATTGTTCTAATTTGATCAGAATAGCAAAGTCTACATCACAACTATAACAATAACGACACAGAGGAACGATAATGTTGGAGTCACTTTTTTTTGTTCCAGGTGAATGATAAAAACATTGATGGCTGATTAGAATAGTTGTTGCTAGAGTTATCTTGGAATGGGCCTTAAGGGTTTATTTTGCCATAATGACCGGCTGTATATTATCCTGATTATTATATGGTTACTTGACAAATAAATACATGGAATACTGATTCAAGTAGTGATGGGAGCTTTCGAAACACTGCTTTGTGAAGCTTCAAAACCTTTGCAAACAATTTGTTTTGAACCAGTGATTTTGAGCACGTATTAAACTACCAAAGTCATGTGATTTCAGTAGGCTTTGCAAAGACATTTTAAAGCAGCACTATGTAACTTTTTCTGTGTTCAAAATTTGCAAAATGTATATAATGAGCTAGTACATCATGAATTCATCTTCCAAACCGCGTTTTTGTCTTATTCCGAATCATTACGTTACACTAATAAAAACTTATATTTGGACTATTGTAGCCTGGTCGGGTCGTCACCGCTGCGGAGTAACACATACCTGCGTGAATCGCCATAGACCTAAACTTAGAGAAGTAGCTCCGGTTGGAATGTTCTTCCGCAGGATGTGTGCAGTTCTGTTTAATAAAGTTACATAGTTCAGCTTTAATGACACGTTTGTATAATAGAAAGACATGTAGTTATTAGTCTTTATCTGCCTAATTAACCAATCTCTCCATAAACAGAACAAGGCCAACAAATAAAAAATAAAAAAAAACATTATGCAGACACTTTGCATTTGTTAATTGAATTTAATATATTACACTGTCAAAACATTTGAAATTGATTAGTTAAAGGTGTTTTTATGCATGTTTGGCCTGAGATTTCGTTGCATTTACACCATTCTGGCCAGCAGGGGTCAAAAGCGTGTGGGCAAAAAAAAAATTAATCGATTTGCGAAGCAATTTTGGTTCGATTGACTCAAAGATTCGAAAATGTTCATTTCTCCTATCACTATTCAAGTACTAATAAGTACCTCTATAATTATCTTAAAACTAAGAAAAAAAGGTCCTTTACCATGAAAAAAAACACGAACACTGAATTGCACTCATAACAGAAATATTTAAGGGCCGATAAGTGTAAGTACTAGAGAATTATTTATTTTTTATTTATTTTTATTTTATTATTATTATTATTATTATTATTATTATTATAGCTGATGAACGATAAAGACAGCCAATCATAATTGCAGCGGGCCCAAATAGAACGCTACCGTCCAGCGGCGCGGGAAGATGTGTTCGGTTGGGGGGTGCTGTGTGTGTCCGTGTTGGGGGGGGGTCTGGTTCACTTAAGTCGGTGCTCGTGCCGGGGCTGGGGTTGTTTGGATGCCGATTTTGTGGGGTGCTGCAGCCCCCTCAGCACCCCTACTTCCCGCGTCCCTGTTACCGTCCGTTCTGAACGCTAATATAAAGTTGCGTTCTTTCTGTGAACGGATAAATGAGACGCAAAATGGCACAGTTGCGTTTGTATGAAACTAGTAGTAGACATAAAAAAAAAGTAGAATCATTAGGAATTAAACACCTGACCGCGGTAGCGCGATTGAACAATCAGAATCAAGTTTTCTAGAAAGTGCCATTAGGATGGTTAAAGACAGCAATAGATCTTACTCAACCAATGTGTCCAAAGAAGCAGATGATCGTTCTGCGATCCTCTTCATCCTCCTCTTCCTCACTTTATCCGATTCCTGCACCAGCAAAATGGTCATCGATCACTATGAAAGCCCAAACCGAGCAATATGGAACTCTATAGGACTGAAGTTACCGAAATATTCCAGCTTTTTCATATTTATTAGGACTCTGACATGATGATAGATGAGCAGAATATCTGATACAAACCGCATACGTTTAACAAAAACACAATATTGATGTCTGTTGCAAAATAGCACGCTTGTCTGCACTGATTGGATTCATATAACTGAGAATATTAGGCTACACATACTCAAATTACGTGGCATCAGAATTTCGTTTTCAGAATCAGGAACACACAAAGGTACGCGTTTTCATTCTGCTCATTAAACTGGAAGGAAGCGAGCTTGATAATTTGACCATTTCACATTACAGCACGCACACATATAATTTGACAGCAGCACATTTAATACACATTTCAGGCCTCAGAAGCTACATTCTGAGTGTACTCAAGAATCTAATCTCATCATTCCAGTCGTAGTTACCTATTTTAAGTAATTTTCCTCCTGACATGTTTAATACGGTTCACCCTAAATTGTGTTAGTGATGTTAGAGAGTAAAGGAAACACATCTATTCTCTCTCAAGATATCGTAATACACCTGATAACTAAAAATACTTGTACTTATTTTAAATGACTTTCATTGATTTATCTTGGATAAATTTGGAAATACTGCTATTTTAAATCTCAATCAATAGTATAATTCAAACACTGACCTGAAGGACCTTTTCTCCGATTGCGCCTGTATCTAATGCCTCATTAACTACACCTGGCATTTAACTAGTGTCAGAGCGCCATCTAGTGGCTGCGAGTGCAACAAACATATGACATACAAGCAAAACAGACATGCATAAATATCTCATGCTAAAATAAATATTGCTATTTTTATAAATATGTATGGCAAATGTTGATATGATATAGCAGTTCATTATTTTTGTTAAAGTACTGTATTTTTTTTTTTTTTTTTTTTCTCTCCATACATTTCTATTTTAAATTCATAGATATAAAATCACTATAAAATGTTGCTCTTTAACATAGTCACTGTAAAAACTGTGGGATTTCAAACATTCACATGCTGAACGGTTTTTGCTACACCGCTTGGTACAAAAAAAAATCTAACCAATCACACAACCCAGTCTGCAGGGGCGCTGGGCCACCCGGGACCGGTTTAGACCCAGTGTGAGTCTGAACCTGGTCCACTAGGACTTAAACATCAGGTTGTTCAAACTAAGCCTTTGATCAGGACTGGCTTCAAACCTAGTCCAGACTAATTCATGTTATTCCATCATAAAAAATAAGACCAGTTTTAGTGGTAAATTATGTCTGTAAATGGTCCGGACAGTAATTTTGGTAACAAGATGGATGTGTTTTTAGCATGTAGCATCTTCAAATGAGCATTTCATCATTCACTTCTCTTCTCCATCAAACATTCTCTAGTCTCACAACATCTAAAATACAAAAAAATATTACGGTACATTTCCGAGTGTGAAATGAGCACATAATGGACTTTGGATAAAGCATATGCAGATAAAGAAGACAAAGACGTTTTCTTGATTAATATGTCATGAAAAGGCATTGTCGGTGAGTCCCCTCTCTTTCCCAGGACGATCAGTAGAGTCTTTGCATAGTGGAGAGGGTTTAAAGACAGTCTTTAAGGCACGGTGACGTGGAAAGGGCTTCCGGGCACCATTTCTTCTCCCCATTTGACTATCAGGATGTAGTCGCCTTTCTCCTTCACTGTGTATGTGACATTGTACATTCTGTTGCCCATGTGTTTGACGTACACTTCCTCACAGGGAGTCTTTGGCCCGTGCACTCCTACCATTAACATGTTTGTCCCTGAACAGACAAAATCAAAGTCATCTGTATGAGAGCATTGTGGGTAATATGCACAAACATGCATTATTTTTTACTGTTCGGAAAGCTGTACCTGCTTTACTGCAGTCCACCGTGAAGGTGTTCTTCTGGCCAATGAAGGCTTTGGAGAGTCCGGCCCCCCTGGAGATCACCTTACTGGCGTCGGACGAGAACTTTGGCAGAGTAGAGAAAGATCCGGCCACTGACGATGATGATTTCATCACCGTTTCCACCAGAACCGATGATGTTTCGTGTAGAGAGTGTCCTCCGGACAGACGTGCACCTGGAAGAGTGGATTTCTTCTTATTCATTTGCTTCTTTATAAAAGATGAGTTGTTGTGCTAGTTGGTGGAACGATGTTCGCTGTCATTTTCCCCCTCCAATCATTAATCTCAATCTCAAGTAAACAGTTTCACACATTTTTATAGTTGTCATAAGCTTGTATGGTTTCAAATCCAGTCCATCACATTATGGAGTATTCATCGTATGATTATCCTGCCTGATCATATAATATCATAACCAGATTTTCCTTTTTTAACATGAGTGCTAGAAACCTTTTCAGCTTTTAAAAATAGTTATTTACTCAAATTTATGTGTTTGTCCCAGACTGCAATAAACAACCTTTTTATATTTAAAGGCAGAGTAAGTGATTTTTCAAAAACACTTTAGAAAACTGATTCGGGCCGAATCGCAAAACAAACTTGTAGCCAATCAGCAATAAGGGGCGTGTCTACTCGTGATGTGGAGGAGAGCGCGTTCAGTGCATGGGACGGACATTAGCCGAGCGACAGAAAGATAGAGATGGCGGATAAAAAACAAAAGAGGAAAACGTCTGCGGAACAATAAGGCAAGAAGTAGGACCCGTGTAAATATCGGATCAGCTTTCCAGCGCTGGAGAGAACTCAAGGAGCGGAGGCCTGCGATCGGACGCCGAGGTTGCTTTGTTTCTTCTCAATAGGTGAGTAACACCGTGTCTACAACAACTAAAGTCTGCCTACACTGGACGCGAGAAAGAGGTCAAACGACCGTTGAAAACCATTTGAAATTTGTGTCAGCACGTCATAAATAGAACCCGGCAGCAGTTTTCTGTCGGGGATTTGTTGCACCGCGCCGCTCACGTCCGTAGACACAGTGTAACATTGGTTTTGCTTTGTTTCACAGAACTAATCGTTGCCTGGGTTGCGTACGTATATGTGGGGCGGAGCTATCAAAATAGGGGCAAGACCCTTTTGGGGTAGAGGCGTGTTTGTTTTGGTGATTTCAAATATAAACATTGGCTACCAGAAATCACTTACTCTGCCTTTAAGGAGCAAAAAAAGCATAATATGATATGATATGATATATGATATGATATGATATCAAACATTTAAGGAACAACAATGCAGTTTTTTCATGTTTATAACCATTTTATCAACATATTTGTTTTTTATTTTATATTTTGTGTTATATTTTTATATTAATAATATTTTGTTTTTAGGGTGGAACACAGATGAAAAATACCCTTTGGCTAACTGTGGTGCATCTACAGTAATGTTTGTCCCTGTTACATTAATAATAAAAAAATAACAATAATATAATATAATAGGGTGCACTACAGATAAAACATACCTTTTGGCTAACTGTGTGTAAATCAACCTGGCTCTGTGTCTGTCCAAGCATATTTAAAGAGCAGAAAAGGCCTAGTGTAATGAACTGTAGTGTGTGATGTCTCACCAGAGACTTTGGCTTTGAAGGGGCTGCCCACGATATGCTGCGGTCCTCCATATTTGATGGAGATGAGGTAGCTGCCGGGAGCCATGGGTGTGTAGGTGACCTTGTATCCTTCTGGACACTCCTGACAATCCATCTTCACCTTCGATGGGCCGTCGATGGTGACCGACAGAGCTCCTGAGCCAGCGTTACACGTGTTTACAATGAAATCTGAGGGTACACCTGTGAAGGATGAGATGAAGCCAGTGAGTTTCTGTGCGTTTGTGTCTGAACACTCGTGATTGGCTACTTGTTGGTGTCACACCTGTAGTTCCCCCCTCTAGGCCAGGCCCAAAAGCCGTCACCATTCCTGGATCTCCTGCCTGGCCGGGTTCCCCAACACGGATCTTGAAGGGACTGCCTGGGATGTGACTCCCATTAAAACGGACATCGATGGAGTGGACGCCGTTCTCCCGTGGAATAAACCGTATGGCATGCTTATCTGCACAAACAGGCACAAAAAGTTCAAATGCAGTTTCTATCCATCTGCTTGTGTCTTTAAATTTTACAGTGATCAAATTGTAGATTTGGAATCTTAGATAAATTATAATACATAAACTAAAATAATATAATAAAATTGTTTAATCAAAATAATATATAAAAAACTGAAGAATATATATAAATATATATATACACACACACACACACACACACAAAATACAATAAAATGGGTTATGTGGTGCGATATAGATCATATATATATATATATATATATATATATATATATACATATATAGATAAGAATCCGGTAACGGTGCATGAATCAGTAGTACAAGCGTATCAATACAGTGACCTGTTTGTATTGGTGGATGAATGCAACCGTTTAGGAACCATTAACCGAACCAAATCATTCAATTCCGGTACTTTTTAAAAAACAGAATC